ATTTCTGGAGTCCCCTTGGCCAAGAGAGGTCCATTCAGTTAGCTGAGGGCGGCAGGGGGATCTTAAGATTTTATTTCAGCTCACAAATAAGCAAAAATTTCATGTGGAATTTATGATCGTTCTTCTTTTTTGAAATTCTTTGACTTTCTTGAATGTCTGTGTCCCTTCCTACCATTCTTTTATTTTGCCTCTTATCCCAAATTGTAGTGTTTCCCAAAGCTCACATCATGATGAGCTGCTTTTCTCCCCACTTAGTCCATTAGGTTTGGCCTGTTACATAGAGCTGGAATTAAGGACTGTGTATGAACTGGGATAGAAGTTATAAAATTCAGAATAAAATCAACTAGACTAGTGGTCCCCAAATCTGCCTGTGCATCAGAGTCATTTAGTGGGACATTTAAAAATAAAGATTCTCAGCTCCCCCAACCCTGGACCTGTGGAATTGGAGTATTTGGTATATTGGGGAGGGTGAGATATTTCAGTTGTTCAGATAGATTTGGGAACTGAAACTTAAAACTAGGACTAATACAAACATTAGTGTTCACAATCAGAGTGAAAAATTCAAGCCAGACAGCACAGGGGTCAGAGGTGGGCAGAAAGTGGAGCCAGCGTTGAGTGCTAGGAGCTTGCAAAGCCTGTCCATTCATGACCCCCTCTGTGCTCCACATCACCCGCTGCATGTCTCTGTTATGGTTCTTATCATAACGTGTTGAAATTACATGTTGAAATTATGTCTCAAGCTTATGTTTCTTATTCGACTGTAAGATTCATAAAGGCAGACTTAGTCGCAAGAATTCATTCTTATATCCCCGCCACCTGTTCATGGCAGGAATATAAAAAATGTTGGTAAAATGAATTGTTGAAATGCAAGTCAAGAGAGAGTGAATTATTAGTAGGACACTTTGTACATAACCAACTTGAACTAGTTAAAAGCAAGAAAAGGGAAGTCAGAATAAGGCTACAAGGTATCTCATGAAACTCAACCCTGGGCCTCAGGTAGGAACTAGACCAAGAAGCTAAAGGCCGTCGAGACTTCCATCTCTGCTTCTCTTTACGCATCGGCTTCAATAATTTCTTTCTTAAGGTCATTTTTCTCTGCTCTTGTGGTCTTCAAGGTTTATATTTTGCACTTCCAAACTCCCATTGAGAGTAATTCACTGTCCATTCTAATTCTAAATTCCTGGGATAGAGAATCTGACTAGCCCAGCATGGGTCCAGCGTCCAAACCAGGTTCAGTTGGCCATAGCCAGGGAACAGGCACAAGGAAGAAACATCGCTGCTAGAGACCCACCCCTGTAGGTTGGGAGAAATGGGGATATTCAGTTCCCAGATAAAGAAGGACTTAGACACTTCTAACATTATCTGTTGCAGAGGCAGAGACACACAGACTGTCTCAAACAGGAAGTGTCTTACATACTTTCCCCTGGAGTTGGTGTTGCAGGGCACAACCAGTAGGCTCAGTTCGTCTGCAATAGACTGGGCAGAGTCGGAATCCCAGGTGCATGATTTATTAACTGTGTGACTGTGGGCATATTCCTTAACCTCTCTGTGCCTTATTTTTTACATCTGTTAAGGGGGGCTAATAATAATTTCCAACCCACATACATAATAAGATTATTGTAACAAAGTAAGCAAAATAATGCACATAAAGCACTTAGCACAGTGCTTAGCACTTGGTGCTAAAAGCATGTCAAATATTATTGTTATCGTCATTATAATAATATCACTCTCTACCTGACAGATCCTGATGTTCTGCTTTATGGAGTTCATCTCTTTTCATGATATAAACTTTATGACTTCCAAATACTTCAATATCTGATTTCCTTTTAAGGCTTCAGTTTTTTAACTCCAGTTGAATGTTGGACTTTAAGTAGGATGTCACTTCAGATTCAAATGGACCAAAAACAAACTCATTTTCATTTTCTTATAACCACTTTACGAATTCTTCCACGCACTAATGTTCCTGTTTTAATAGCATCAATCTTTCCTTAAACCTAGGTAGGAGACTAGGAGTAATTGAGAATTACAGCTCCCAGAAGATCTAGAGTCACTTGATTTGGGGCCATCTTTTACTTCTTTCACACCCTTAGTCTGACCATTCATCAAGTTCTATTTATCTTTTTCATGCAATTATGTGACTAATAATAAACACTTACTGGGGGCTTACTAAGTGCCAGACATTGTTCTAAGCACTTTTACAGATGTTAATTAATCTAATCCCCATAAAAAACTTCATGGGATAGGCACTACTATTATCCCCATTTACAAATGTGGAAACCGAGACTTCGGAAGTGAAATGACCTCCCTGGGGTCGCCCTGCCAGTAAGCAGCAGAGAGTAGGCAGTCTGACTACAAAGCCCCCATTCCTACCCCCTAAGCCACACCTCTGCTCTGTGATGAACCTTGAATCTCTCTTTCCATCAGTTCCACCACCACTTGGACAGTGAATCACATTACTTCACGCCTTTGTGATTGCATTAGATTCCGAGTTAGTCTGCTTGACTTTGCTCGTTGTAATACAGCATACTTCTGCTACATTACACTTCCTTAAACACTGCTTCTACCATGTCATTGCTTTGTTCAAAATCCTTCTATGGCTCCTGGTGGCCTATGATGTATGAAATATATTCCTTCCTGGTTTTTTAGACTTTATGTAATTTTGTTCCACACTATCTATTTAGCTTTATTTTTTCTTCCTTCTATCCCACTATACATCACTCCAGTCAGGCTGATTTTTCCACCACCCCCACAAACATACTGCTTATTCCTGTCTCTGTGACTTTCTTCATCTCTACAGATCTAAATTTTACCTGCCCATCTCAAATTATTGTGGCTTCGTGAGCCCTTCCTTTCTAATCTCTTCAACTGAATATGAACCTTTCCTTTCCTAAGACTCTCATAACACTATCTTCATCCCCTCTTATGATATCATGTTCTCCCTTGTATTGTGGCTATGTGTTTACTTTCCTTATTTCTCTCCCTGTTCACCAGTTTATTGGCTTGTTGAAGACAGAGAGTAGGACTTCACTAATCCTTGGATTCCCTGAAGTTCCTCTTTCAATGCAGATCTATTAATATTTATTGATCACTTGTTGTGGATACAACAGAATTCTAGTTTCATCCACCCAGAATGTTTCTCCTTTCCCTTGTAATTCTCAATCAATCACTCCTAGTCTCTTACCTGGGTTTAAGCAAAGGTTGATGCTATTAAAACAGAAACATTAGTGGGTGGAAGAATTTATAAAGTGATTATAAGAAAATGAACATGAGTTTGTGTTTGGTCCATTTTGTTCCAGTATTTCACAGAAATCTCGCGTCTTGAATGAAACTCTCTTGACTGCTCCAGTCTTTGATGAAACCTACTTTCTTAGAACTCTTGTAACACTTAAGGGTGATACCACATGTCTTAGTCTGTTTCTGCTGTTTTAACAAACTATTTTAGACTAAATAATTTATAAACAACAGAAGATTATTTCTCACAGTTTTGGAAGCTGGGAAGTCCAAGGTCAAGGTGCCGGCAGATTCAGTGTCTGGTGAGGGCTGCTCTCTGCTTCCAAGATGGTACTTTCTTGCTGTGTCTTCATATGACAGAAGGGGGAAAAGGGAGGAACACTGTGTCCGCACAAGCAGAAGAGATGGCGAAAGGTCAGGCAGCTCTCTGAAGCCTCTTTTATGATGGCATCAACCCCATTCACAATGGTGGAGTCCTCAAGACTTAAGCACTTTCCAAAAGACCCCACTTCTTAGTACTATCACATTAGAGATTAAGTTTGAATGTGAATTTTGGAGGGACACAAATATTCAAGCCATAGCTCCATACAACTTAGTATTTTATTAATTGTTTTATATGGCATATTCATTGTTTGAGTGTTGCTACACAGGGCCTGGTATATAAAGATTCTCAAGAGATATTTGTTGAACGAATCACTATGACAATTTTGCTGACCAATTGTAAAGTCTTTAAGATAGGAATCATGCCTTATATATCTTTTGTATCCTCTCAGAGCTCTGAGAATATAAGAGATGCTTTATGAATATTCACTGACTGATGGGCTGTTGGATTTTCATTGCAAATCTGTCCTTCCTTTACTGCTGTTCTGTCCTTAGCCTGTGACTGCACTGAGGTGGCCTCTGGGTCTCTAGCCTAATATCTGCATTGAGTACAGGCAGGGTCAGGCTGCTGACATCGAGGTCTTTTTGCCAATCCCTTTTAAAATTCTGTCCTTAGATCAGGACCAGGCCTTCTTATAGGGAAAAATCCCTAGAGGAAGGGGTGGGAGTGCTTAGGTTGTGGGGGAAGAGTCAAGAGGTTAGAGATTGCAAAATGCAGACCTTTGGCCAGGAATGACTTTACAGAACTTGTTACTGGGTGTGCCCACACAGTGTATGTGGGGAGAAAGAAGCCATTCCATGTGTACCTTAGACTGTTCAAAGACAAGGGTAATATATCACGATCATGATGCAACAATTAATGACCAGGGCATCTTCCTAGACGGCATGAAGTCTGCTAGTGGATCTTTAAAAATCAATACAAAATAATATTTCTATAATATAATAATAATCTTTATATACTGTATAGCCACCATGTTGGAAACCATCAGTGACTAGTATTTGAATGTCTTGAAGGAAAGCCTGATCTCCCAAGAGGAAAGGGAGAGCTGGGATAAGCGGGTGCCTCACATTATATAGTGCACCTCACAGGTTCTCAGCAACACTTGGCGATGGTGGATAGTAAAATGGTTTTGCAGATCAGAAGGGCTTCAAGTTTTGCTGACCTGGGTGCAATCTGTAATGCAGGTGCTCAGTACAGGCCATGTGGAATATGATCCTTAACCAGTCTTCCCAGTCTTGCGCTGCACTGAGCAGTGGGTAAACCAAGATGTAGATTTTTCTTTATTAATATTTTATATTTATTTATTTGCCATTCCACTGGCTTATATGCTTAAAAAGGTCTTTGTTTTAAATGCAGGTCATGCAAGGCCACATGACCCGGATTTCAAGGGGCCTGTTGCCAACAGGTAAGCAATTCTTTTCTTGGGAAATTTATTTTTTAACAAACAAAAAAATTAACAGAAATCTTATTTTTTTGGTAACATTTCCCAGTCAATGAAGAATTGTGTCTACTGCGAGAAGGCAATGACTTATTTCTGCCTAAATGTCACCTTATTTACACTGAGAAAGTACAGAGAATAAAGGTTTCCACAAGTCATGAATTTCTTCTCCTGTTCAGTAAATGAACTGCCTTAAGTTGTTAGACTGAGAGTTTGTATTTCTCTAAAGGAGAAGCCAAAAAAATGCTTTATGAGATTTAACCACTTTGTAGAGAAGCAAACACATTCAAGCAGTTGTTTTATGTACCTGTTTACTCTGTGGCTTACCATTGCAGCTGCAGAGTTGCTATGCCAACTTCTTCCACGCCAGGCATTTGTGCCACTCAGCTTCCAAAAGCAGAACACTTTCTTAGAGGTAGTCATTCGCCAGTGCATCACGTACACTTTAGGAGACTCTAAAAATGCTCTAGGGAAATATGCACTCATCTCAGCTGGTGCTTCCCTCCCCACCTCCAAGGTTTTATGGCATTTTAATATTAGCCAATAATTCATAGTCCTCCTATTATTTATTTTACCTTCCATTTCCAGGCTTCCTGTCAATCAAAAAGGGGGTTGGTGGGTAACATGACTAAATACGAAGAGAAGATTATGCAGTTGGTAGCTGTTTTTTGCTTAACTTTGACTTTGATTTCTGGCATTTGTATGTCATAATAAACTGTGATGTGAAACAGCAATCAGCATGCTCATTTGCACTTGCCAGCCATCAGTATGTATATCAGCATTTACCGTTATGTCCCTGTAATATCCATGTCTTAGTCCATTTGTGTAGCTATAAAGGAATACCTAAAGTTGGGTAATTTATAAAGAAAAGAGGTTTATTTGGTTCATGGCTCTGCAGGCTGTACAAGAAGCATGGTGTCAGCATCTGCTTGGCTCCTGGTGAGGGCCTCAGGCTGCTTCTACTCCCAGGAGAAGGCGAAGGGAAGCTGGTGGGCAGATCACATGGGAAGAGAAGCAGCAAGACAGAGGGAAGGGAGGTGCCAGGCTCTTTTTAATAACCAGCTCTAGGGGGAACTCTTACAGGAACTAATACAGTGAGAACTCACTCATTACTGCAAGGATGGCACCATGCCATTCATGACGGATCCACCCCCAAGACCTAAACATCTCCCATTAGACCCCACCTCAAACATTGGAAATGAAATTTCCACATGAGGTTTGGATGGTCAGACATCCAAACTACAGCAATCCCAGCTTTAAACACATGTATATTCAGTTTATTCTAATTTTGTAAATAGCCAAATCATTAGTTTCAGGTTACTCATTCGAAGGTACACTTAGAATAAAGGAGCCTTCTTGAGAAGAGTCTGAAATCTCTCTCATTCTCACCATGGTAACACTACGAATGCATTTTGTTGTCTAGCGTACAAACAGCTTCATTCAAGGTGGTGGTTACTTTTGCTGTAATCACATCCATTTTACAATAACTAATTTGTGACAATTGAGTGTAGCCTATTGGCCTCAAGGGATCTCTAGATATAATCCAGATTCAATAGTAATAATAATTAAAATAAATAGGCTGCCACATTTGGACAAAGGAAGTACAGATTACAGGTATGGCTTTGATAGCCACAGAGAAGAGAGAGTTAGGTGTAGGAAACGAGGTTAGATCTCCCTGTCTTTGGTTATTTAGAATTTAGTGACAGAAGCCTGTAGTCCAGGTAAAGTCTAAACAACTGCGACAATCACTGTGAGGAAAGTAATGTATTTTTGCCTGGGGACTTTTGTGATGCCTCTGGTACCACAAAGACCTTTAAAGGTGAAATGGTCATTCTGTGGGCATACCACCCCCCAATTTCAATCCAGGAACAGAGGAAAGTATTGTAAAACCACAGGGGCATAACTATGAGAAGAGACAGTAGACCCATTTGTAACTTTTTCAGCAGCAGGGTTCTATACTGCCCTTACTGAGAAAATAATTGGAGTGTTTAAGGAACAAGTGGGAAACCCCCAATTCTTCGCATTGCTTCTAGCAGCAGGGCTGGCTTTAATACCACCTTGTGCTTACATCATGTTGCTCTCCTTCTGAGAGATCCAAAGTCTTATCAGATATTCAGGCAGACCCTTACAGCACTCTCTGCTTGTCAGGCCACCATGTTATGCGCACCTCTCTTAGTTCACAGGGCAGCAGTTTGTACCTAATCCCCACCCGACCGTAGCCGTTTTGAGAAGAGGTGAAAGAATGATGGTAACACTGCAGGAAAGGTTACCTCAGTGTCTCACCTGTTCCTGTCTACTACGAATCGGGTGTATAGGAGCTATTGCCCCATAACATTGACCAAAAAGAGGTGATTTTCATAGTTTAAGGCCCCCTTTTTAAAAGTATGTCTTCAGGCCCCATGATTTATCCCCTATATTCAATAGAATCAAAAAAATGTTGGTTAGTGTTGGGTTGCGGTGGTAAACGTGAACGGGTCTCCAGCACTATCCTTGGCAGTGCATTATCGAGTGGAAATGAATGCACATAGAAAACAAAAACATAAAAGCTCTTTTATAAGGTAATACATGAGAAATTCTTCTTTTGATTTAAAACTAAGAAAAATTGTTATTTAATGGAGAATTGATATACTTTCTTCTGTTAGATAAGAACCGTGTGATCCACTATGTTTCCGTTTTTGTACTGACTTGGGGGAAGCCCACTGATAAGACCACTGATCCTTGAGGATTAGAACATCCTATCTTTGTGTTATGACCAACTAACAATTCTTCTCACAGAGTAAGGAATACTCTAAATATTTGTTTAAGGAATAAAGGAAGGAAAGCAAGAGTGGGAAGGAAGCAGTGTGATGTAGAACCCATAGATAAACACAAGGATGACCCTCGGAAGAGGCTGAGTAATGACCATACCATTATCATATTTGAGACAAAACAGTGATAGTTTTGAACTCCATGATTTTAAAGTCTTTATTTAAAGCTCTTGCTAAGATGCTATCCAAATCTTACACCATTTTCAGATGCCGTTGGTGTGATACGGAAGTTCAAATTTCTAAATAAGATGCTCAGCTAACAGAAAAGTAATACCAGAGTTCTAGGAGCTATTTGCATTACTAGGGCTTGTGGAATACACCTCAGACTGTTTTTCAATTCAATTAGTTTTTATGAAGTGTCCACAGGGGATATGACATTGCATATGGTGTGGTTTCAGCTACGCTGTGTCAAGGCAGGTCAAAGATTTACAGGTCCTGGTGCAAAGAGTTCAGCTTATTCTCTTTAATCTCTTTCTTTTCATGTCAGGGCAAAATCATTAAAATTTTATAACCATTTGCCTGGCCTGTGATCCAAGTTTAGAAAAATAAAGTCCAAATTGCTACAATTTGCATCCTGTGATAAAGGCCACATATTATCATTTCAAGGTGGAGTTTGTTTTGTTTTGTTTTAAATAGAAAAACTCTCCTGAGAAAAAAGAATGCAATTTAAAAGAATTCTGACATTTCAAATATAGCCATGGAAGAAATAACCATATTCTCAGCAAACAGAATGCCCATCCAAGGAGGAAGTGCTCTAACTAGTGGTATGTTGAGAAGGAAAAAAAAAAAAAAGCCAGCCCTCATAATTAATCACTGACATATATATTTAATGCACACCTTTGTCCTCTAAGAGAAATTACAAACCAGATGACAAGACAGCAAAAGTATACCAGAAACTAAAGAACAATCACAAGTAGCATGTGCTATGCATCAAATGTGTGGTCCACAGCAAAGGCTGTAGGATTTCAGGGGAGAAAAGGCACCCTGAGGCTGGGGTCACCAAGGAGCAAGGAAGACATTATGTGAGGTGCTTCCCCAGAACTTGGGAATATAGAAAGTAGCACTGCTTTTTGAGAGTTAAACCATGAAATTAACATATAATTAAAGCAGAGATGTGTGTAGTCACCTCAATGAGACCTGTAAGGCTCCCAGTCCAACAAGCCTTGATTATAAACTTATTCCACCTATTAACATATCTAAAGAGATGTACAAATGATGATCAAGCAACTGTGCTCGTCCAAGAACTCTCTAGGTTAGAGCACGGGTCAAAGTGATGTGAGGATCCTATGTGAGGATCCTGCTCTCTTGACCACAGGCTAGCAGAGCCTGATGTCATTCAACATTCCACTCATGTACTTCCCCTTGTTCTGACTGTACATTCATCAGGCAACCTTTTGATAATTAGGTTTCTCATGTAGTTTGCCTAACAGGAGGATTGTGCTGGTCAGGCCAACATGAGTACGAGGTCTGCTCGGCAATTAAATTTCTCAATGTAAATTATTTCATTGGTATTCTGATTTGATACATCAGTCTCATGAGCCTTGTTAGTGACAGACATCATCCCTGAGTTGGAGTAAGTCTAGGGCACTGACAAAATCAATTTTCAGACCCTGCAGAAATGTGCTCAACTGGTTTGGATCAACAGAGAGTTCATTCAAAGGTTTAGAGACCCCAGAGAGAGAGAGAAGTTTAGGCAGATATGTTAAGGCAAAATTGTGTAGGGCTTTGAATATCACACCAAGGTATCTGGAGCTAATTCTGAGGCAGTGGGAACTCGCTGTAGACATCTAATGGGGAGGGGTGACGTGATCAAAACTTACTCACAGGTCTACTATGTGCAGCTCTACTTAGCGGACCTCATGGCTTAATTGAGGAGTTAGCCAAACAAGCAACTAATTACAACATAGTAATTATTGTAAGTGCACACACTACTCTGGGAGCACCAAAGAAGGGTACCTGCAATTCACGTCAGTAATGATCAGGGAATATTTCTCAGAAGAGAGCATTTACATATTTTTCTATTAGACTTTAATGTTCTTTCAAAATTTCCCCTTTGTTTAGGTTCTTTAGTTTAAAGAAATTTATCAGTATTTTTAAAAGCTTCAGAAGTATATTTATATTTCTAAATATCTACTCGATAGTTCACCTGGGTGTGCCATA